AGTGAGACTTGAGGGAGATCCCATCACCTGTCAACCCCTTATCAGTGCCCTACCTTATTACAGACCAATTCAGACCGTATTGGTCACCCCGTGCCCTTGTAAATCTCAAAGTTCATCCTACAGAGTCCCATCACAAGGGCGAAACACAAATAGACAACACATTACTGAAACGAAAGTACGCCGTATGGACCTGACAACTCAATTTCCCCGTACAAAGCGACGGAGTGAACCGCGCGGGTTGGCAGCAGCGAGTTCCCCGGGCCTCACCTCCGAGCTGGATCTCGGAGGCGATGCGGCGGGAGCCGATGTAGGTGGCCAGCGTGGGGAAGTGCCGCAGGTCGCGGCCGCGGCTCGCTGCGCCGTACAGCAGCGTGCCCACGGCGCGGTCGACGGCGCCGTCCGGAGACGCCTCCTGCGCCTGGGAGACGTCAAGGGCCGGGGGAGGGCAAAGTGAGAGACGGCACAGTCGCGTTTTCGTGTGTTTTGGTTTTCCTGAGCCGCTGAGAGAGGACTCAAGAGCCGAGGGCGGTGGAGGGGTGCGAGTGAATCAGAGGTTTAGACAAAATAAACACGAACAAACAGACATTTGAGCAAAAACAACTGCATTGCATGAACTTTTTTTGCATGGTTATTGAATATTCAACAATATTGAATACATACTCTTTGGTTCTTTCGGTAAAGTCACGTAGGTATAAAAAAAATTTTTAATTACGACGTTTCGGACACAACACAAGTGCCCGTCATCAGGTGGAACAACCACAGCAATAAACCATTGCCTAAAATTAGACATCAAAATTGATTGATTGGCGCTATGGCACGAGTGTGTGAGCAGCAGAGGTTCGCGGCGGTTCTAATGCAGCAGCCGCCCTGCTTAATACTGCCGTGTGTATGAACCATACTACACACGCCGTCTGCTCCAACGCTGGACGTTAAAGACCTCGTGACGTGGGGCAGGCAGGGGGTGCCTTGCCCCCCACCCCCGTGACCAAAGCTACGAGTTGGGGCCCCCCTTGATCAACAACCACCACGACGAGAGCTGCAGTGGCTGCATTTTGCGATGACGGAACGCCCCCACAGCGTTACATGTTCGAGCCCGCGAGCGTAACGATTGCGATGAGGCAAAGTGAAGCCGCGATATACAAATAGCCTCGAGCTGCGACCGTGCGGTGATACGAGCGCAGCCTACGTCTGGGAATCACGGGGGCCTTGCTGTGTCAGCCAGCCTTGCTGTGTCAGCCTTGCGGTGTCAGCCTTGCTGTGTCAGCCTTGCCGTGTCAGCCAGCCTTGCTGTGTCAGCCTTGCTGTGTCAGCCAGCCTTGCTGTGTCAGCCTTGCTGTATCAGCCAGCCTTGCTGTGTCAGCCAGCCTTGCTGTGTCAGTCAGCCTTGCTATGTCAGTCAGCCTTGCTGTGTCAGCCAGCCTTGCTGTGTCAGCCAGCCTTGCTGTGTCAGCCAGCCTTGCTGTATCAGCCAGCCTTGCTGTGTCAGCCTTGCTGTCAGCCAGCCTTGCTGTCAGCCTTGCTGTGTCAGTCAGCCTTGCTGTCAGCCTTGCTGTGTCAGCCAGCCTTGCTGTCAGCCAGCCTTGCTGTCAGCCTTGCTGTGTCAGCCAGCCTTGCTGTGTCAGTCTTGCTGTCAGTGTCAGCCTTGCGGTGTCAGCCTTGCTGTCGGGTGAGGAAGCAAATGACGAGTGTGCCACTTCAGCCGACGAGACTGCCCCCGCCCACCTTCCCCTAATCCCCTTGGGCCCCCCCCCCCTCGGCCTCCTCGCATCCCCCTCCCCTCCCCGGCCGCCCCCCTCACCTGCCGCACGGCGAGGCCCAGGGCGGCCGCGAGCGGCGCGTTCTTGAGCGTCTCCAGCGCCTTCGCCTCGCTCAGCCCCGCCAGCTGCAGCAGCCGCGCGTCCACGGGGGCAGACGGAGCCGTCATGGTGCTCGCTCCGCAGTCTTCTACGCGACTCTCGACCACACACCAACACGCCAACACACACACCAACAACAACACACACCAACACACACACGCACACCAACAACAACACACACCAACACGCGCGGCGCGTGCGAGTGTCGGGCGACTCGCTCGGTCTTCTCCACGTGGGCGGCGGCGGCGGCAGCAGCTGGGCGGTGACGTCACTTCCTTCGACTGACGCAACCGCCGTTCAACGCGGGTCGTGACGTCATGTAACGCTTCTGCTTCTTCATTCGCGTGGCAGATGTCGAGGCAATGTCCATCACCTGTCAAGCCCTTATCAGTGCCCTACCAATGCAGACCTTGCTGGTCACCCCGTGCCCTTATAAATCTCAATGTTCATCCTACAAAGTTCCATCACAAGGGAGAAACAAACAAATACACTTTTTGACTTTTTGATTTAAAGCTTTCGTGACTGCAGGGATTCATATTCTTGGTTCTTTCGGTAAAGTCACGTAGAAGGGGAATAATAAAATAATAGAAATATAAAACAATACAAATTCTCACGACGTTTCGACTGCAACACAAGCAATCATCATCAAATTTTCTTGCTGTGGATTTCACACCTGATGATGATTGCTTGTGTTGCAGTCGAAACGTCGTGAGAATTTTTATTGTTTTATATTTTTATGTAGTTTCCCTTCTACGTGACTTTACCGAAAGAACCAAGAAAGCAAATAGACATTTGTTTTGCCCGTAATTGAAACGGCTGTACGCCGCATGGACCTGAAAACTCAATTTCCCTGCACAAGAATACGGGGCAAACCGTCTGGACTGACAGCTATGAATGTCACGGCTGTAAACTGAACTAATTTTTTCCCACAGCGTTGGTGTACGGTGTTTTTTTCTGCAATATTTTGCAGTTTTTTCTTGCATTTTCTGTTTGCACTTAGTCACATATTCACTTTAGGATGTTTCCTTGTTCATCTTTTGTTTTTTGTTTGTTGCGGTTGCACCCGATTCAAGAGCCGAATGGCTCACAGGGCTATACCTAATAAATGAACTTGAACTCACTCTGTTGTTGATTTGAAGCTTTCGTGACTGCAAGGATCCATACTCATAGGTTTTTTTCGGTAAAGTCACGTAGGTAAAAATAAAAAATAATAAAAATAATAGAAATAAAAATAGAAACTAAATAATAAATCACTTTAATATTTTATTTCAATTATTATTTCTATTATTTTTATAATGAATTAATAAACCACTTTATTATTTTATTTCTATTATTTCTATTATTTTTATTTTTACCTACGTGACTTTAACGAAAAAAACCTAGGAGTATCACTCTGTTGTTGTATCCTCAAATATTGTAACTCGAATTTAACCCACTTCCCAAAGTGGTATCGACTGCAAACTTGGTATACGTATGTCATACTAATGACAATACCATATTCTATCATTAAAAATACAAAAAAATATTTTTAAACATTATTTTTTAGATGTTATGTTTCGGCTTGGGTCTAATTGTCCACGCTCAACTCACGTTGGCTGTACATCACCACGGCCCCTTACGTTATGGCAAACCTCGGAGCCACTTCCTGGAGTCGTGGAGTTCTGCCATTACGAGTAGGGTACATTTAATTAAAGCGTATTTAAAAAAAAAGTATTTTAAATATTTTTACTTTTACGTTTTAATTCTCACGATCCGAACCATCGAGCGTGTCCCCGGCGCACGAAGTCACGGGTTTAGTGACGTCACGCGCTTGTGACGATTGCGCCTGTAAGTTGATCCGTGACGTCACGCACAGAGGTGGCGTCGCGCCGGTTGTACACGAATGACGTCACGGCTAGCGCCTCAAGCTTTGCAAGGGCTGGTCACGTGGACCCAACATTACCTGCAGTGCAGAATCACAACAGTCGTGCACTGGGCTGTAAGCAATGGACACAACGCAGACTGCTGTAGTCGTACAAACGCCATCAATGGATTTCAATGTCGTAATTATACACTTATTTCTGAGCCATGCCCATTGCCATGCGTGATGATGTGGATTTTGCTGTTGCTATGGGTGATGTTGCTATGCACGTGGGTGCGATGGTAGATGTGGATGATGCTGTTGCTATGGATGATGTTGCTGCGATGATGCTCTGATTATTTTTATTTAGTATTCCGCTTGTATAGTCACGAAAGCCTCACCGAGTCTCATGACTCTTATGCAGGAGGCTCCTGCCAAATTTCCGCAGTCGGGGACGAGAATTGTTCTGTATATTCCAATTGGGTACTTGATGATGCAGGGGATAATGACGCTGTTGCTAGGGTGATGATGTTGTGAGTGCTGATGCTGTGGGTGATGCTGTTGCTAGGGTGATGATTTTGTGAGTGATGCTGGGGATGATGCTGTTGCTAGGGTGATGATGCTGTGGGTGATGCTGGGGATGATGCTGTTGCTAGGGTGATGATGCTGTGGGTGATGCTGGGGATGATGCTGTTGCTAGGGTGATGATGCTGTGGGTGATGCTGAGGATGATGCTGTTGCTAGGGTGATGATGCTGTTGCTAGGGTGATTCTGTGGGTGATCCTGGGAATTATGCTGTTGCTAGGGTGATGATGCTGTGGGTGATGCTGGGGATGATGCTGTTGCTAGAGTGATGATGCTGTTGCTAGGGTGATGATGCTGTGGGTGATCCTGGGAATGATGCTGTTGCTAGGGTGATGATGCTGTGGGTGATCCTGGGAATGATGCTGTTGCTAGGGTGATGATGCTGTGGGTGATGCTGAGGATGATGCAGTTGCTAGGGTGATGATGCTGTGAGTAATGCTGGGGATGATGCTGTTGCTAGGGTGATGATGCTGTTGCTATGGTGATGATGCTGTGGGTGATGCTGGGGATGATGCAGTTGCTAGAGTGATGATGCTGTGGGTGATGGTACCGTGGACGATGCTGTGAGTGATACTGAGGATGATTTAGCTGAGGATGATGCTGAGGATGATGCTGTTGCTCAGGCGATGATGCTGTGGGTGATGATATTGCTGTGGGTGCTACCTCCAGAAATCGTGCAGGTGCATTCAGGAGCCAAAACTCAAGACGTGAGCCCAGAGTTACAAAAGGACAATTCTTTATTATTTGAATTCCACGATAAAAAAATAACGTCAACTTTCCTTTCTCGTCTCTGATATTTACACGGATGCCGCACTGGAGGCCTTAAATTAAAACGAGCTGCCTTGGAACGCGTGGGGCCGTGCGGCACCACGACCCCTCTGCATGTACACACCCACTCGTGCAGCGTCACTCATAAATAAAAAATAAATTATCTCAAAGCCTGCAAACAGCTATTCCTTTTTAAAATACGGAACCGATAAATAAATACAAATATCTGTACAGTATATTGTGCACAAAATAAGACCCATCTTCTGGCGTTTCAGTGAAAAGCATCGCTGTGTTGTCGTTTGTTGTAAACACCGCTGCAACCAATCACGAGCATTGTCTCGGGGACTCATGGGGTGTGCTAAATGAGTGGAACGATGCAGTGTGCAGGCGGTGCAACTGCACCCTAGACCCATGGACCAGGGGCTATGCCAACCTTGCCAACTGGGTATACATTAGTCTGGGTGTCAATGCGAGTCTAAGATTCTCTATGTGAGCTATTGGTCTCCTATGCGAGTCTTGTCGTTATGTGAGTCTGTGTCCCCATGTGAGTCTGTGTCCCTTCCTTTAGTCGACGGGTCTCTAATGTAGCGTGGATATCGATTGTGTAGGCAGTGCAATTGCACTGGGGCCCATGGGCCAGAGGGGCCCAGGTAACGAGCTTAGAATATTGGGGGAAATAGCACAGGAGTCCCATTCATTCAATTCCAGGCACCATTGCCCATGCCCTGGCTTGAGGGGTCAGATAGGTTTTGGGATTGAGAATTAACTTAGGAATTCTGGTGAGGGCTCGTGATTGGCTGTAGCGGTGTGTCCTACAGCACCGGTTGGTCGTCGTTTCACGCACGCCATTGCGCCTATATCTCCGCGCGCCCACAGTTGCATTGCTTGTGCTGAGCCCCGGCGAGGCAAGGGGGTCCGAAGGCAGACTGCGACGGCGGAGGCGTGGGCCCGGCTAGCCCACGGCCTCCACGCCACCCCCCCCTCCTCCCCCTCCCCCCAGCGTGAGTGGTGGGGGGAGGGGGCCCATCCCAGCTTCCTTGGAAAGGAGGGACTCCTGGGCGGGCCCCGTCTTCGTGTGTGCACCCCCTTTGTCACTGGCACGTCCAATCCGAGCCAGTGCGGGACCCTCACGGTACGGGCGGTGTTCCACTGTTTTCGGCGCCGAGCCAGACCCATGCCGTCGCGAGACATCTGGGTCTGTCTCGGGGCCGAGCAGGGCAGGGGGACTAACGGTGCGTTTGTCGGGTGCGACGTCGGTCAGACGGCTCAGTAACACCGAGGACGCGGCGCCTCCGGCTCGTCCGTCTGCGCGTGACGTCAGCGGCACGGCTCGGCTTCTCGCGGCGGAGGTGGAAAAACAGCCGGTTGCCTATCGAACCGCACGCGCGCCGGGCCGGGCCGGCCTGGAAAAAGAGGTATTTGGGGTTCTGACCCTCTCCGAGAGCCCCCCAGGCGAATCGAGTCGTGTGCCCGACCACCGGAGCCAGTTCATTGGAAGACCTTGGCCGTGGCGGGGGGAGGGTCGCGTCCGCCCACCGGCGAGCGAGCCGGCGGGCGGGAGGTAGTGTAGAGGCAGCGGGGTCCGCTGCGTGAGAGCTCCCCGCTCACAGCTCCAGGCTCTCCTTGCTCGAGCTCGTGCTGGACTGGTCGCGCTTGGCGAGCGGCAGCGCCGGCTCCCCCTCGCTCTCCGACTCGACGAGCCACGGGTGAGCGAGGATCTCGTCGAGCAAGGGCCGCTCGGACGGGCGCACGTTGAGGCACGCGCGGATCAGCTCTTGGCATTCTGGCGACGGCAGAGAGGGGAGAGGAGGAGTGTCAGCTACGTCGAGCAGGGGTAAAGATACATCCGAACGCGTTGCTCCTCTAGCACTAAGCATAGCCACTGACTCTTATTCAGCTATCCGAGTCATGACCACTACCTCGAGCTTATTGCTGGAGCTTGTTATGTATCTAAAATTTATTTTATTTTAAAATAAAAATTGTATCAATAAAAAAACTGAAACTGATCCAGAGTGTGCTTGCCAAAAAAAGTACAAATGTTGAAAATAATTATTGGTGTGGGAAGCCAATAAATAGGCCAATGGGGATGTATGGAGACGATAGGTGGCAGTGAGGAGGCGTGTGGATGTGTGTGTGGGGGTGTGTGGGTGTGTGTGTGGGGTGTGGGGTGTGTGTGGGGTGTGTGGGTGTGTGTGGGGGTGTGTGGTTGTGTATGTGTGGGTGTGTGTGGTTGTGTGTGGGGGTGTGTGGTTGTGTATGTGTGGGTGTGTGTGGGTGTGTGTGGTTGTGTGTGGTTGTGGTTGTGTGTGTGTATGGGTGTGTGGGTGTGTGCGTGTGTAGGGCTTTGCGGTCCGCCAGGGGGCGCTGCTGGCTCACCGGGGGACACGCGCTTCCTGAAGGCCACGTGCGCGCGCAGGATCTCCTCGTCGTGCTCGAAGGGGATGTCGCCGCACACCATGTCGTAGAGCAGCACGCCCAGGGACCACACGGCGGCCGAGCGGCCGTGGTAGCGGTGGTAGCGGATCCACTCGGGGGGGCTGTAGACGCGCGTGCCTGCACGGGGAGAGAGGGCGGGGAGGCAACGTGGTCACGCTCGGCTCGGAACGTTCATTCATTCATCAGTCTTCATCGGCAGCAATAGCAGCGGCAACACTGGCGATAGTGGTGGTAGCAGCAATAGCAGCTGCAGCGTGGCCCCAGCCATGCAGTATTCACACCGGCACCACGACCAGTAGCGGTGGAATCAGCACCACGACCAGCAGCGGCATCGTCGCCACGCGCCGATGAGGATTGATCGGCGCTCGCCACGTGGATTTTTTTTCATTGATTCGGCGCGAAGCGCGGGAAGATCTCCCGCCCCATACCCAGCCCCCCCACCCCATACCCAGCCCCCCCACCCCATACCTAGTCCCCACCCAGTCCCCTCCCACCCAGCCCCCCGATCTCCGCACCTTGCGACCCCACCCCAAATCCTCCGTACCCCTCGCACTCCTCTCTCCCTCCCGCCAAACCATCCCCCCTCCCCCCACCCTCCGCCCCTCTCGCCCCCGGCTCCCCCCCACCTCAAGGAACGATCGGAGCGCACCCCGCCAGCCAACGCTGCGACGGCTCTCGATCCACGACCCCCGCCCAACCCCAGCAGAGCGACCACCTCCTACAACCCCCCGCCCGCCCGCCCTGCCCTGCTCACCGTCAAAGTCGGTGTAGACCGTGTCCTTGAGCAGGGCGCCCGAGCCGAAGTCGATGAGCTTGAGCTCCCCTCTCTTGAGGTCGACGAGGATGTTCTCGTCCTTGACGTCGCGGTGCAGCACCCCGCAGGCGTGGCAGTGGCGCACCGCCTCCACCACCTGGCGGAAGAAGCCCCTCGCCACGGACTCGGCCAGGGCGCCGCGCTCCGTGATGAAGTCGAAGAGGTCCCGCGCCGCCTCGGGCCGCTCCATGATGAGCACGAAGCTGTCGGCTCTCTCGAACCAGTCGAGCAGGCGGATGACGCCGGCGCACGGAGAGGCGCCCGCCTGCAGCACCTTCTTCATGAGCACCACCTCCAGCGGGACGAGCGCGCCGCTCGGCTGCGGGACAGAAGCAGGGCGGGGGGGGGGGGTGTTAGCCGGTGTGTGCTTGTGTGTGTTTGTGTGTGCTTGTGTGTGCAGGGTGTGGTGGTCAGGGGGGTACACGCAGGCTACTTGGTTGCAGGTTCGTGCAGGGTGCGATGGCGCAGGGTGTGTGTCTCGGGGTGCAATGCTCTGGGTGCGGTGGTGTAACAGGATGAGTGAGCGGTGCAGGCGCGGGACGCCGCGCGTGGTGCAAGGGCGTGGGGCGTGGTGCGGGGAGTGCTTTGGGCGGGGTGCGAGGGGTCGTCCCTGTGCAGCGCTGCAGGACGTCGGGAGCGAGGAGCGGAATGCTCTATGCAGGGTGTGTCTGTGTGCATGGTGCAGTGTGTGTAGGGTGCAGTGTGTGTGTGTGTAGTGTGTGTAGGGTGTGTGTGTGTAGGGTGTAGGGTGTGTGTGTGTAGGGTGCAGGGTGTGTGTGTGTAGGGTGCACTCACCAGCTGCCCCCACTCCGTGACCCGGTCTTTGCCCACGTGTTTGATCGCGACCTGCGGGAGGAGGCACGGGGAGGACGAGCAGCGGTCAGTGACCGCACAGGGCACACGCGCCGGCAGGCTTGGGGGTCGGGGGGGGGTGCTTGGGGGCCATGGGGTTTACAGCTGAGACTGAGCCATAGGACTATGGGCACGTCAAGGGGTCACACGTCAGTGTTTGGGGCAAATTTAGGACTTAGGGGGAAGATTAGTGGTGATGATTAGACTCGGGGTTATGGGTAGATTATAGGCTAGGGGTAGATGAGGGGCTAGGGGTAGATGAGAGGCTGGGGGTAGATGAGGGGCTGGGATAGATGGGAGGTTCCGTACCGGGAGGTTGTCGCTGAGTCGCACCCCCTCGTAGACGGTGCCAAATCCACCGCTGCCGAGCACCGCGCCCACGCGGTACAGCTTCTCCAGACTCTCCCGCTCCCGGCCTGAGAACGTGGAGAGGACGCGTCAGTGGGGAAGCAGGAGGTGTCGGGGAACCACGGGCGAGAGGAGGAGGAGGAGAGGGGACCCGGGGACCCGGGGCGGCGAGAGGAGGCGAGGGGGGACCCGGAGAGGCAGCGATGACGGCGAATCATGACTCACGGTGTAGGCGTGGTGGTGGTGATGGCGGGAATGAGAATAACGATGGTGGTGGTGATGATGGTGACGATGTGAATGGTGATGGGTAGTGATGGTTACGGTGACGATGTCAATGGTGATAATGACGATTTTGAATCAGGATTATGATGACGATAATGTATTCCTCTCGTGGAGTATTCCGCTTGATGATGATGATGATGGGAATTGATGATGATGAAGACGTTGACGATGATGATGGTGGTACTCACTGTGGTTAATCTGCAGCTTGACGGGTAAGTCCACGGTGGCAGGCGAGCACATGTGCGCTAAAGTTCCGATTTTTTTCGACAGCAGCATGGTCTATCCCGAGCCGGTGCAGACGAAGATGAAGAGGAGGGAGGAGGAGGACGAGAGGATGGTGGACGAGGTATCACGAGGCGATTAGATCACGAGTATCGAGGAGGTGATTTGAAAACCACGCGAAGCTTCCGTGCCGTCCCGTCGCCGTTAGTGTCTCAAGTGTCTCGGCGTCGTCTCGTCTCGTCTGCGTGCTCGCGTCTCGGTGTCCCCGCGTCTCTGTGCGGCCTCCCGGTCTCACACGCCCCCTCTTATCAACACCGCCTCCGTCCAATCAGAGAGCGCGGCACATCCCCCTCCTCGCAATCCCCCAGCGCCAGCTCCCCCCCACCGCCACCCTCTGCACCCACCGCGGAGGGGAAATCCTCTGGCGTGGGTGGGAGGAGGCGAGAAACGAGGGGGGAGGGGGGCGGGAGAGAGGGGGGAGGGAGGGAGGCGGGGAGAGGAGCGCCGCATGCCGAGAATTCTCGCGTCTCAGTCCAGTGCCACTCAAGCAAATGAGTGGTCGGAAGGGATTTGTATGCATGGAAGGAAATGGGGAGGGGGGGCTGGGGGGGCTTCACGGAGTTCCCCCCCTTCAAGGCCCCCTCCGGACCCCCTTGGGCCCCCCACTCCTACTTCCCCCCCCCCCCCACCACACCCGCCTGGCGTTGCGCACCCCCGAAACTGAGGATGACGACGCGGGTTCTGTTTTGATGAGACGCCTCGGCCCAGCGCCCCGAGCGGCGGAGCAGAGTGACTCACGCTCACGCTCGCATCGCTGTTCGTCAGCGCCGTCGTCACCCACGTCTTCACTCTCATCGCTACCATCGTCACCTCGTCACGGTTGTCTCATCATCACCGCCATTACAACAGCAGCATCATAGCATCGTGGTAAATCGTCACAGCATTGGCATCATCGGCATCACATGGCTCTCGTGATGTGAGCACCACTTGAGCATGTCATCATAACATCATCAGCACAAAGGAATTCCATCATCATAGCCATCACATCATCAGTTATCACATCATCATCATTCCTATTATCGTCATCAACATGACATCATACATAATCATCATCACAGCATCATTATCATCATCATACAATAATCAGCACCGCACACACACTGTGGTCATCACAGCATTATCATCAGTATCGTGTGAACATTCAATCATCATAATAGCACGATCATCATCATCATCGTATCAACATAAAATCATCACAATAGCAGTGAGCGCTGCGCGCCACCTGTACGTTCCGTAGTAACTTCTGCTCAGAGGCAGCCGAGTCACTTATTGACAAGAACTCGCCTCTGCGGCCAGGGTCAAACTTTCCCAAAGCGAGCGGGCAGCCACGTGCGCGACCCGAATTAGCAGCAGCAAATTCCCACGATTATTATGGGAAAGAAATCATAAACGAGAATCATAAACTCCCCCCCCCCCATCCTTCCACCCCGTTCCCACCTAATTCCCCCCTGCCACGTGCATGGGAACTCCGCAGGCTGCTCACCCACCCAAAGACAAAGATCCCCCGTATAGCCTTGGCCGATTGTTGGGGCAGGTGCGGTTAGCGAGCACACATGAAGCCTGGCACTGCACACGAGGGTGTGGGTGGCCAGCACCACGCCCGGCCGCCTTTGTCTCCTTAGCTGGCAATGTTTACGCATCGCAGCAGGTATTCATTTGAGACTGAGTCGACCTAGGGAAGGACCAGGGACTGCTTCAGATAATCGTCATTTGTGTTGGTGGCTGTGAGCGGGAATCGAACTCCGGTGGCCGGGTTCGTAGCGCAACGCACTGACTGCGACACTACGGCTCACCCCCCCCACCCTTTCACCCCTCCTGCCACCCCCCACTCAGCCCCTTTACCCCCCACCGCCCCCACCCTTTGAACCGACCTCGCTGTGTCTTTATCATCAGAGCTCATCTCGTCCTCCAGGTACTATTTTTATCGTCTGAAGTGAGCAGCAGTTGAGCTCCCCACGTGCGGCCTCGTGCACCACGAGGTAAGCACACGGGGTCACGTGGGCTATACCCCCCCCCCCCCCGCACGCGCGGTGGGTCACGCGGGGACCCGTCCACACACGCAAGGGGTCAACTCGCTCCACGCGGGGTCACCTGAGAACGGACCCCTATACACACGGCGATCACGCGGGGACCGCTCCACATGGCTACATAGGGGATCACGCGGGATCACACACCTACACCCGGGGCACCCCTCCCTCTGGGGTCAAGCCTCGATCCCAATACACGAAGAGGGGGCAAGAGGTGATTGTCAACATGGGATCCATAAATCTGAATTTGTGTTTATGGTGGATGAATCCGATGAGCTACAAAGACCTTTTACACAGACGTCCAGCAGATACAGGGTCACGCGAGATCCCATATCTCTACCCGGGACTCCACTCCTTAAGGTGTCAATCCTGAATCGCTATCCACGATGAGGGGGCAAGAGAGGGGGTCGTCAATATGGGATCCCTATACACAGGGGTCATGCAGGGTCCTCTAAACACGACCCCCCCCCCGCCACAATAGGTAGGACCTTCACACACGGGGTCAGGCGGGACCCTCTTCACGAGGGGTCACGTGGGGACTGCACGTATGGGACCCGGCACGTGGGTCGCACACGGACCCCTCCTGCTGCTGCTGCTGCTCATGCAGAAAACTTTCCACTGCCCATGTCGCCCTTGCCGAGCACGTGGCAATTACACGGCATCCACGATGGCAAAGGTCCCCCGTGTAGCCTACACGGGGTTGCGGGGTAAGTGCTGTTATCCAACATTTCTGACAGACCGGTACGGCTCACTAAGGGGTGACGGTAACCAGGACCACGCCCGGCTGCCTTTGTCTTCCCAGTACGGATGATACCGTTTATAAAAGACAAACACAAAGCTCCCCCGTGTAGGCATGAAGAGCGTTAGGGCAAGTGGTGTTAGCCAAGGCCAATACGGAGCACGATGGGGTGGTGTGGCCAGGAGATGTACACACGTACATACATGTAAAGACAAAGATCCCCCGTATAGCCTCTCACAAAATGTTGGCACAAGTCCTGTTCGCAAAAATAAACACTTGGTATGACTGTGCAGTGTAGGCCAGGCTTGTTGGGGACTCGTACATCCCTCCAAGATGCCTGGTCAGTGTGGAGGATTCGGCCAGAATAACCTTTAGAGCTCCCACTGAAGTGGAAGAGGCCCATCCGACACACGAGGCACAGACACGGGGCACAAACACGGGACGCAGACACGAGACATAAACACGAGATCCTGACACGGTGGAGGTGACACATGAAGCCAAGCGAAGTCCACGTGGCTGTGAGTGGAATGAGGGGGGGGGGGGCACGCGGGATTCCCGCTGAAACCACAGCTGGAGCGTGGCAGCGTGCGGGATATTTGTGGTCACACGTCACCATGTGCGCGTGTTCGGTTCAACATCACTGCTGCTGCTTCTGTTGTTATTGTACTCGTTGCCAATGTGTGCTGGTGGTCCTCATCATCATCATCATTCGCACCACCTTTTTCACGAACATAAATGTATTAATAACTCTCATCGATCGTGTTGGGTGGGTGCGTTGGGGCGGGGTGGTGGCAAGGTGGTTATGGGGAGGGGGGGAGGGCAGCCAGGTAAAAGACGAGAGAGAGGGGGAGGGCGCCACCACACGCACGGTGGTGAGTCTCGATATGAATGGAGTGGAGTTTGTAGTTCCACTTCATCCTGCTCCCTCTCCCTCACCAAAGACGCTCACCGCATCGTCGCGCGCTTTCAGATGCGCTTCTGGGGCCGTCTGGAACGCTCTTCCGATATTAAGAAGCCACTGGAGCTATGCACTTTTTAATTATCATCTAGATTGACAAACTAATTTTTTTAGAACTGATTGTTGCTGTGTTTAGTTTCTTGTCCTTGCCCGCACCTCCGATTAGCACGGTTGGCTTAGTACGGTGCGAAAGAAGTTTGACGTACGTGCATTTCATGACATCGATCCCGGTGCGCCTTCAGTGACTTCCCGAGGTACGCCTCCTCCTCATCATCATCACCACCGCCGTGTGCTTGGTGGCTTAGAGATCACGAGTTCTCTCCGTTTTAGTTTGCCACGTTGGCCCTTCTCCCCTAGCCCAACCATCTCCCCCCCCCCCCCACAATATTGATGGTAGCCATGAATGCATTTCTTTGTCGCGAGGACAGCGGTGCGAATTGTGACGATGGCGGTGACGACGACGACGACGACGATGGCGGTGACGACGACGACGACGACGATGATGATGATGAGTGCGTTACTCCACTCCGTCGTCGACTTCCGCATGACGGGAAGAGCTCACCACGGGACGTCTCGAGTCCCGCGATTCTCTCAACGGAGGCTTCCTCGTGAGTAGCTCAGAGGAGGAGGAGGCGACAGTGGCACGCCTCTAGCAACAGATGTCCGTGCGGGGCAGGTTGATGCGACGCACGCTCCTCGGTAGCACGCGGAGGTCATGCCGCATCCTTCACTCGTGGGTCGCGTGGCCGCATCATCGCCCTCCCCGTGCCTCGAGAGATGGAGAGTGAATCTGGCCCGGTGGCGGTGGTGGTGGTGGTGGCGGTGACCACGCTGCACGTGGCTTTCTGTGACGCGGCCCTGCACAGTCAGCAGCGAGGGTTGGTGGCTCACCGCACACAGAGGTTGGGAAACTCCCTTCCAGTCGACAGGGAGCCGTAGCCTGGCTCGCCAGGAGAAGGCGGCACAGCAAGGGTAGACGAATCTCCATCTGTTTCCATCTGTACGGGGATGTTGTTGCCCCCTCGCGCATGGCGTGGGGTTTTTTCCGGGGTGCTCCGGTTTACTCCTAATTAAAATAGTAATACGAATAATGATGACCGAATCACTAAATTGCGCTGAAAACATCTTCAAATAAAAGACTCTTATGAAGCAGCAGCAGGAACCCCTCTGAAAAAAAGAGTCCGACGATTCAGCGTGGCCATCCTGGATAACCAAGTCAATGGAAACCACCGCTGAACGTTGCGTAAACGTTCGTGGTGGTGGTGGTGACGCGTGTTTGTCAATTGCACAGAGACACCGAGTTTCTGGAGAAGCGGTGAGGAGCACGCGGATCGCGCAACCCGCGACCCGCGAGATTAGCGAACGCAGAGCGACTGTGGGGCTCAACCAGTGGGGTTTGGTGGACTTGCCGTGCTCGACACGTGGCCGGGAAGGGATGGTGGGCGAGACTGGTGACGGAGTAGCAGCCTAGAGGAGGAGGTAGTGGGGGGGGGGGG